TTACGCTGAGGTGGGTTAGCGCTGACACCTCCTTGCTCTGGGCCCTGATAGAACTGGGTCCAGAAGGAGAAGGGGGGCTGTCTTTGGCGATCTCCCTCCATCCAGGGTGCCTGCCACATGCACTCAGGAGCAGTTAGGTACCTCTCCACACCCCAGTCCCGCCCCACTTCACATTCCAGCCTCTTTCTGCAAAGCCCGCAGCTGCCACCTACACCCACTTCCTGCCAGGTGGGCAGCATGCAGAGATTGGGCTCCTCCACTGTCCCCTCATCAGTCCCTAATCCTGCCTGTTTCTCACGAGTCACCTTTCTCGCCCTAATCCCTCTAACGTAAGGGGCCCCAGTTACCTCTGGGGATATCAGAGGCTGGGCAGGGAGGGCCAGGAATAGGAGTTGGGGTCCTCCCAGGAGTTCGGAGCCTTCAGAGATACCCCTAAGTGCTTCTCCTGACCCAGACCACAAACAGACACAGAGCACATACTGTGTGCCCACAGCATCATTATCATTATCATCATTATCATCATCATCATCATCAATAGTGCTATCTAATGGAACTTTCATTTATTTATTTATTTATTTATTTATTTATTTATTTTTGGCTGCATTGGGTCTTCATTGCTGCACGGGGGCTTTCTCTAGTTGTGGTGAGCAGGAGCTACTCTTTGTTGCGGTACATGGGCTTCTCATTGCGGTGGCTTCTCTTGTGGAGCACAGGCTCTAGGCACGCAGGCTTCAGTAGTTGTGGCACGCGGGCTCTAGAGCATAGGCTCAGTAGTTGTAGTGCATGGGCTTAGTTGCTCCGCGGCATGTGGGATCTTCCCAGACCAGGGCTCGAACCCGTGTCCCCTGAATTGGCAGGTGAATTCTTAACCACTGCACCACCAGGGAAGCCCCTTTAATGGAACTTTCTGCGGTGATGGAAATGTTCTGTATCTGGGCTGTGTCCTATTGGACATCACTGGTAACCAGTCGTCATATGTGAAATGTGGTTAGTGAGACTGAGGAACTCAAGTTTTAAATAAATTAAATTTTGATTAATTTTATAATAGATTGCCCCATGTGGCTTGTGGCTACCATATTAGTACAGATCTACTGCATTTACTGAAGGCTTACTACATGCCAGGGCCCACTCTAAGTGCATCACCTTGTGGGACTTCCCTGGTGATTCAATGCTTAAGACTCCCCACTCCCAATGCAGGGGGCACGGGTTTGATCCCTGGTTGGGGAACTAAGATCCTGCATGCCACACAGCATAGCCAAAAGAAAAGAAAAGAAAAGAAAAGAAAAGAAAACAATTTCCCTGGTGGTCCAGTGGCTAAGACTCTGCACTTCCACTGCAGGGGATGCAGGTTCAATCCCTAGTTGGGGAACTAAGATCCCACATGCCTCACGGTGAGGCCAAAAAAAAAAAAAGCATCACCGCATTTAAACCTCAGAGCCCCCCAGGGATTAGCTACCATTATTAAGCCCATTTTACAGACAAGCAAACTGAGGTAGAGAGAAGTTAAGTATCTTATCCAGAGCTAAGCCCATGCAATTAACCACTCTGCTGTCACACTGGAGGCCATCCCACAGTCTCAGCTCTGGGGGCCTCCACCTTAATTAGGGAGAGGACCCAGGCACAGAAGTCACCCCAATGGGATGTAGGTGGCATTGAGCCAGACCTTGAAGAAAAGGAGGATGTCGATTAGTGGAGACTGGGGTAGAGGAAAAGGCATCCCAAATGGAGGGGATGGCATGGGCCAAGGTGTGGAGGTGGGCAAGTGAAAAGCACACGGAGGGCAGAGCTGAGGATGTTACAGTAAACAAGATGGATTGGGTCCCTGCCTGCACAAGTCTCCCATTTGTTGAGCATTTCCTCTGTGCTGAGAACATTACATTGTTTATCAAACCATTTGGAAACAGGTAGGAGTATCTCCATTTTACAGTCAAAGATACGAAAGGTCAGAGAGATAAAGAAATTTTTCTGAAGTCACACGGCCAGGTAATGGGAAGTCAGGATTTGAACCCAAGCCTGCCTGACTCTGGAATCTGTAGTGGAGCCACTGCCCAGATGTGCCTTCCCCCGGAGGGCTTAACACTATGCCTAGAAGACAGTAAGTGCTCGATAAAAGGTCTAAGATCCATTGTGTGTTAGGAAGCCTGGATCCACCCACCTCGGGCTGCAGGGTATTTTGAGGCCAGGAGAATTCATTTCCCTCCCTTGAAACAAAGGCCTCGGGCGAGGAGGACCACCCCCACCTCCACTCCCCCATTTCCGTCTTCTCCAAGTCCTAGTTTGTCAGGCTCTCAGGGGACCATGGCTACAACCAGGACACCAGCAAACAACCGCAGGGGGATAGACGGGGCCACTCAGTCCACACCCAGGAACCCCTCCTTTCTGGGGATTGGTTACTAGGAAATGTGAAATGCCGTCCTACCAGAACCAGCTGGGTGAGTACAGAGGGGGCCCCTGGGGTGAGGGAGCCTCACCATGGGGCAAACGTGGCTGGGACAAGGCAAGTGGGAGTGGGGTTCAGGGCACAGTGAGATGAGGTGGGGTGGCTGAGAGGAGAGGGGAATTGCGGGGATGGGAGGCAGGGAGGGGTGCCTTGTCGGAGCCCCAGTGGTGATCTCAGCAGCGCCCTGGGACGGTCTGCCTTCCCTCTTTTACCCTTGGGCAGTTTCATCTCCTTTTTAAATTTAAATATGGTATAATTCACATACCGTTAAGTTCACCATTCTTAAAGTGTACAATTCAGTGATTTTTAGTATATTTACAAAGTTGTGCAACCAACTCCACTGCTTAATTGCAGGACATTTTCATTACCCCCGAAAACCGCTGTACCCTTTAGCAGTCATTCCCCATTTCCTGCACCCCTGCTCTTGCCTCTGGCAACTACTAAGCTATTTTCCATCTCTACAGATTTTCTTATTCTGGATATTTCATAGAAAGCGAATCACATGCGGTATGTGATCTTTTGTGACTGGCTTCTTTAACTTAGCATAATGTACACAAGGTTCATCCATGTTGTAGCAGGTACCAGTATGTCATTCCTTTTTATGGCTGAATAATATTCTTTTGCATAAATATACCACATTTTGTTTACCCATTCATCAGTGGATGGACATTTGGGTTATTTCCACTTTTTTGGCTATTATGAATAATGCTGCTATGAAAAGTTTTTGTACAAGATTTTTTTTTTTTTTTTTTTTCTCACTGTTGTGGCCTCTCCCGTTGCGGAGCACAGGCTCCAGAC